ACAAGAGTTGTGGACTATAGTGTCTTTGGCTCTGTTACTTCACTTAATAATGCTACATATATTTATTGAGCACTTATTATATGCAAGATAGCAGAGTAGGCCCTATGATAAAGCAAAGGACAAGAAATATCTGGCCACTACCTTTAAATCCAAGCAAGTACAAAGAAAAATGGTTATGCTGAAGTCAGCAGCAAGATATATGGGACTTAGAAACTAAAATAATAAGGTTTTTCTCCCCTAATTTCTTAGGTGGCAGTGTTTCAACATGAGCAATCTGAGGCAAGAACATACCAGGGGCAAAATAATTTACAAGGAAAAAATATGAAATGTGTAGGAGATAAGCTCCCTTTGCTCAAGACATGGCAGTTCGCCTCAATGTGCTCCTTCAGGAGATTGTTTTTGGGAAGCATTTCCTTGAGGTTTGAGCTTCTATAATGCAGAGTGACTCGCCCTAGGAGGTGTGGAAAAACAGCCAAGGTGTAAGCTGGGGGTGGACAGACCAGTCTTTGAGCATTGGGTTCTATTCTCTGTCTTCCTCCTTCATTAGCGTTATAATGTGTAACTTCACTTTGGGCCAGCAAGGACAGACAGCCAGGCTCCCTAATGTTTTTACTTTAAACAAAATCAATTGTATAAGTGAAAGGAAAAAGACATTACTCACTGATGTAAATGCCAGCAGCTCCTCTTCCGTTAATTTATGCACTGGGTTATTCTTTTGAAAATTTAAGCTTTAAATGAAAAAAAAAAGTACATTATTTCTAAAATGCATATTGTATCTAATGTAATATTTTTAAAAAACGAAGCAAGTTGCTATATTTTATATATCTGAGAGCACACATTTAAATATTATGGCATTATATACAAATGTAGTCTTGAGTTTGCCAAAGATTAAGTATAAAAGTAATAAAATGCTGACAAAATGTGGTTGGGGTACTAAATGTCAACATAAGTGTCTGACTGGGAAAAGAAAAGAAATTCAATCTGTGCCACTCAGCAAGGATAATGAAAAGAATTATTACAGCCTCCACTGCTATTTATTAACTTCATACCAAAAATCATGAAAATACTACTATAACCACTGAACAGGGAAAAATTAAGAAACTGTCAGAGAGAGAGAATAGGAATTCTAAGACCCTGCTGATCCAGGTGTAACTGGTAGAAAATAACTGGGCACCATCAGGTAAACTCAGCATTCACACATCCTGGACTCAATACTTCCCTCCTAGGTCGAGAGTCCAGAGAAATTCTGAAACAGGTGAACAAAAAATCATATACACAAATAATCATAGTGATATAATGTGTAATAGGAAAAATCTGAAAACAATCCCAATGTCCAAAAGGAAAGTGGAAGATTGTGACACATTCACTCAGTGGAATACTATACAGGAAAGTACATCTTAGCTACAGATAGCAACAGGAATGACAGAAACACAGTAACCAGAGAAAACAGGCAAATCACAAAGGACTGTGTAAGACGTCATTTTATACAGCTCAGAAATAAGCAAAACGAAGCAATTGACTTAGAGACAGATAAAACACGAGATTAAATGCACTGTTTAAAAGGCAGAAAAACAGCAAACACAGAATCAGGGTAGTGGCTGTCTCTCCAGCAGAGGCAGGAGGGTGAGGTGCAGAAGCACACAGGCTGAGCTGACAGTATTTGGAATAGTCTAGTTTTTAAACTGGAAAGTTAGTTCAACAGTGTTCATTTTCCTACCTTACATTTATATATTAGATAAATTCCATTGTATGTAAATGTTACATATATTGAAAAATGAAAAGAAAATACCATTCCATACAATAGAAATACTTTCATTTATAATACTGTTTAAGGATTTTATAATGAGCATAAAATATTCATATAATAATTTTTAAGTGAACCTACTTTTATTATGGGTAAGAAATAATTAATAAATGGGGAAGAAAACAACTATAAAACAATTTCACTTAAAACACGCAGAATGG